AATGACACCCTAATTTCATCACCACAACTACACTGACAAAGCATAAAAATTCATAACCATATTCAATTCACAAGCAACATCCAAAAATTCAAAAGCAAAAAAATTCTACAAATTCAAAACCATTCGCATTTCTAATTTCCAAAAATTCCAAACCCTAATTTCATAACCACAATGATAAAAACCCTAAAGCATTTAATAATTCACATGTAAAACCCTAACATTGACAGAAAAATACAACACATTTACAAACACAAAAACTAAATACATAAAATTAGGTTTAATGTCATACCACGGAGAGAGAGAGAGAGCAGAGACAGTATAGCGACCCCGGTCTTTTCCCATTTGATTATTGTATCCGGACTTAGGTTTCGTAGATTCTATTATTGTATATTTGTTGTTGTTGTCCCTTATTTTCTTATTTGGAGTTATAGGATGTGTTGGGCAGGTTTGTTTCAGGTTGGTTGGGTTTAGAAACCTAGTGTTGCTGTCCAGAATTTTGGTTCTTCGCTCGAGCGAGTGGTTGGTCGCTCGAGCGAGATGTTGTTTTTGGTTCTTCGCTCGAGCTAGGGTTTGGTCGCTCGAGCGAGAGGTTGCGTCCAACATGGACCTGTAGCATTGCATTCTTGGCTCGAGCGAGATTTTCTTTGCTCGAGCGAGGTTTTCTTGTGTCTGGTCGCTCGAGCGACCATGTCTTCGCTCGAGCGAGTCTGTCCAGTTTATATACACAGCAGCGGGTTTTCATCAGTCTTTTTCATCTTCTTTTTTATTCCAAACCCTAGGTCCGACATCTCTCTCTCCCTACTCACCTTCTTTCTTTCTTAGATTTGATCTATTTAGAGGGTGTTTCTACCCTAGTTGCTTTATTAAAATATAGAGGGAGTCGAGGGCTTTCACTTAATCTGAACATTTGGCGATTTGGAGCACATTGGTATTTGGGCACTCATCTCTGTCTCCACCATTTGGGTTGTTTTCTTCAAGGTAGGGATTTCCTACTCCATCTTATAAGTTTTGTTCTAAGTTTTAGTATTTTGATATGTTGGGGGTACTTTGGTAATTTTTGGAAAAACCCTAGTTGTATTAATTAATTTTTCATGTTGTTAAATGAAATTTTTCTTTGCCGATCAAAAAAAAAAAAAAAAAAAAAAAAAAAAATTTATAACTCTATTCAAGCATATACTAAAAAAATATTGACATTATAAAAGTGTCTGATTTGAAGATATTTTGTTTTGTTTTGTTTTTTGTTTTTGTTTTTCAATGAAAATGGAAAAAAAAGGATGACTAATGCAGAGTTCAAAATTTTTTAAGGATTGAATATGTATTCTTGAATTCGGTGTGAATTTAAATAAAATTTTAAATTTTAAATTAAATTTAGGTTGGATTTGGACAAAAACAGTAGTCACCCAAACAATTCGAAACCCAAATATTATATATATATATATATAAATTATTAGTTCTTAGATGATGTTAAAAACATACTCATTGTATATACCATATATATAAGTAAAACAATATAAAATCTACCATTTCTCCTTCTAACATAGAAATGACAAAGAGTGCGGTAGGGTGTAGCATCACAGAGGTTTATCGATTCTCATTTATCTCTCATCATATAGGGTCTAATTTTAACGAATAATTCCCTCAACAAAATAGAATGCTCAAATTTGTAGGTAATTTGAGTAATCTACAAATTTGAGCATTTTGGGCTTGAGTAGACCAGTTCTGGTTAAAGGTTGCACTTGGACGGAATTAGGCAACTCTCAATACAACTCAAACTAGGCTTAAATAATTTCTCAATTGGCCAAACCATGCTCGAGTTCACCCTTGTATGCAGAGGATCATGAATTTATTAGATTTATATGTAATCCAATATGTTAAGTGCACATACAAAGAAAGTGTAAAGAAAAATGTATTTGAAAAAAAAAAAAATTTGTAATGCGCAAAGAAAGTGTAAAGGAAAATGTATACAAAAAAATTAAATGTAATCTGGGTTAAGAATGAATCCGGGCACACATTAATATTTTTAAGCACATTTTTAATGATGATTTTTATGCAACCATCATTGCAAAATCATATTAATCATGCCTACTCATTTTTTGTGAGAGATGTGTCTTTTTTTTATGAGAAGTTATTGATTGGTCTTGGAATACTGAAGTGTGGTGTTTTAATAATATTGTAATTGATGAAAGGAGTGAGATTCACAAATTTGTGTTGGGTAATTGAAAAATATGAGGGAATCTGGTGAATTGTGGTTGGTGTAGGATATGGTCACGTGGTGCTCCAAGATCAACTAATAATTTTTCCTTTTTTGTGATCTAGGACCATTATATTAATTTTTTTATCATGATAATTATGATCAAACAAATAAAAAAAATTAATTATACTTTTTACTCCTATAGTGTGACTTACATTCCACTTTAGTTTCTATGGTTTCAATTTGAATAATTTGATCTTCTATCTAGTTTCAATTTGATTCTTTCGTTTAAATTTTTGTTAATTTTATCTACGTGTATACCTTCGAAAATTGACAAATATCATAAAATTATTAATTTTGACCTCCAATATTCAGACAAAAAGAACTAAATAAAAACCTTAGAAAATTGACAAGTGTTCAAAATTTGTTAATTTTAATCTCTAATTTAGACAGAATGATCAAATTGAAACTAAACTTAAAGTGTAAGGATTAAATTGTTCAAATTAAAACTATAAGAATTAAAGTGAAATTTGAGTCAAACTAAAGGGATAAAAAATGCAATTCACCCAATAAAAAAAAGTAGGTATCATTTTATCAAAAAAATATAGAATGATAATCTCAAGTGTTATTTTTACTGATTTAATCAAATTATAGTAATTAGTTTACTCAGATAAAAAAATGAGGTGAAAATCTTAGATCACCCAATAACTTTTCGTGAGAAAGTGAAAGAGATTTTGCCCCTAACATCAACTTTAAGGAGCTTTTGCGAGTTTAAGACACCCTAAAGCTAGGAATTGAAAACAACCCGAGAACCTGCGATTTACTCGTTCAACAACAAAGCAACATTAGATCACAAATTATGATAAAATTTTTATTTCTACACACCTAATTATTTCAGTGCACATATTTTTTCAATGCACACATTTAGTAATTTAATTATTAATTTTTGTTCTTATTCCACACACTAATTGTTCCAATCATACTCTCAACTCATACCTTGTACATATACTACATCAACTTTCTTTTCACACACCTATTCAAAATTGAAGAACAATAGTTTGCCCTATTCGGTTCACAGTGAAGGAAACTCCATTGAAGAAACTGAAGACCGGAGACCCTCTATTGAAGAATTTTCATTGACACTAATTCCATTGAAGACCCTCATCGTCCATTCGACACTCTAATTCCGAAATCTGTTGAAGGTAACTATTACTTTGTTTTGATTTCGTTATCGCATTTGGTGCTATTTTGTTTTCTCTATCGTGTGCATTGACAAATTAGAACAAACCCTTGTTTTTTCCTTGAAGAGTTGTGATTTAATTCAACACTTAGTTTCCAAAATAGATTGATTTGTTTGACACTGTAGTTCCGAAATATATTGATTTGTTCAACATTGTAGTTCCAAATAAAATATAACATTTCAGCCCTGGTTCTCCAAATTAATCGCGGGGAAAAAAACTTCTACACAAAAAAACTAACCCTTTCATTACTGCTTTTGTTATCACTAGGCATATTTTTATTTGATTTTGAGTTTCTAATTGTGTACCAGATGAATTACGACTTACACGATAGTGTCTATTGGGAGGCTTTGAAGGGAAGACGTGCTTTTCCTGGTATTATGAAAGTGATAAGTGATAAGGAAATGATAATTTCCTCTCGGAATTGGACAATCTCAATAGGGTCTGGTATTATTTGATAAAGGTTTATATTAATCCTCAATCACAACTTCTTGCATAAACATGGGATCAGGCTATGAATTGATTTGACCAGCCAATGAAATAACTCACAATCTTGTATAAATCTGTTGTTATACATGATATTAAAAGTACAACCAACGGATGGACATCAAAAAATAAAAAAACACATTAAAACGACAACAATAAAGAAAAATAAAACAATATTAGAGTTGTTATGAGAGTATTATTTTACAAGCAATAAAAGAGTATAGAGTGCATCATAAGCAAAGTGAAACAATGAAAGAAGTGACAAGTAATGAAGAAACTAGGGTTTATTTATTTATTTTATTTATACTCAAAATATGTAAATTGAGATTTTTTTATTTTTAAAAAATGCGTACAGAGAATATTTTGATATAATATTATGGGTGTTGGTGGATATCCATTATGGCCATTTTAGTTTAAGGTATAATTGTTATTAAAATAATATTTTATTAAGTGTGTGAACTGAGATAAGTAAGTCTACCAAATTATGACATGATTTCTTGATGATATATGAGTGAGTGAGGCTTGTCTTTAGTTGGCCAACCCAATTGAAAGTATTGTTGGTTTTCCTTGACCTATCATTAGATATGTCTTAATAATTTAAATACATGATTTATTAAATAAATACATAATCTCTTAATTGCAAAAACAAGGAATACATAACTTTTATTATTTAGCCAAATGTTATGAAAAGTCTAAATATTTAAGGTGGTTTAGTGTAATTTATATGAATTATTTATATATATATATATATATATTTTAGAGTGTGTCATATTGTTTAACACAATTTCTCTTTATAATTTATTAAATAAAAATAATTTAAATAATAAAAAATTAACTATCTAAAAATTAAGATAAAAGTACATTTAATTTTTTGATTATCAACTTCAACCTACTACAAAACATGTGCTGAGTCCCATTGCACGGATTTGCACCCCATAATGACAATCCACCAACCACCCATTAACTCCTATATCATATAAAATTTATTATTATAATTTGTCTCCAATCAATGTCCCTCTCCTCCTTCAAAACCTCCTCTCTCTCACTTTTAATTTTGGGAGTTTTTGGTGGTTGTACATATTTTGTCTTCTACCTTCCTCTCCACCTTCTTCTTCTACCTTCCTCTCCACCTTCTTCCTCCTTTTCTTTTCCATTTTCTCTCTCCTCCTCTTCTCTCTGCATCTATCACCAAATCAATACATCAAATCACATCATTTATCCTATCATCACCACCACCATCTCCAATCTCCAAGCACCCACCATTTTCTTTCTCGTTCTATCTTTCTTTCCCACATTTTCTTTGTAACTTTCTAAATCTCCAAGTTACCACCATTTTCTTTCTCCTTTTCTTGTTCTTTCCCACATTTTCTTTCTCATTCCCAATTAAGCTTTTTATGAATCTTTCACATATAGAGAATTATGTACATCAACAATAGTTGAAGAAAAAAATATGGGGAATAGTGAAATGCATAAATTAGTTGGAGGAAGAGGAGGAGAATTTGCTTCTCCTAATTATACCACCGCAACCTCTATCTAAAAAGGTTATGTTTCCTCCACATTTTGCTTATTCTTTCATTTATGGGTTATGGATCTTTGAACGCCTGCATATAGTCCTTGACACACTACAAAAAAAATTAAGGTTTTAGGGACTAAAATTTAGAGATAAAATTATTTTTTAGGATCTAAAATTTTTGTTACGAAAAGTGTTGCTATTATATTTTTAGCAACGAATTAGTGATGAATTATTATCTTTTTGGGACAAAATTTTTTGTCTTAAAAAATAAATCATATTGATATCAAATTATTTTGTTCATAAAAGTCTATTTATTAGTGACATTTTCAAAATTTTATCAGTAAAAGTCTTATTTTTGACTTTTCGGGATAACTTTTTAAGGACTATCTTTACGACGATAGAATTGGTCCCTAAATGTTTTTTATAACAAAAATTTCACTTTTAAAAACTAAAAAATTTGTTCACTAAAACTTTTATACGTTGTAATGACAAAACAAAATTTACATAATAGAATGGCAAAAAAAGAAAAAATTTATGTAATCCATTCCACTTAATTAGAACATAAAGCTTAGTTTGGTTGATATGATTATATGTCCTTTATATTCCATGGTTAGATACCAATCCCATTTCACAGCAAACCGTTCCCAAAGCACATCACAACATGACCCTTTTTATTTTTCTTGCTTTTGTTCTTTACTTTTGATGGAAAAAGGCTATACATTCTCGGATCATATTTCTCTGTATGTTTGCTTTTTCACAGGTTAAGGAAAGGAACCACCTCATCTTCACATTTCTGTTGTGGTTTTCCTCCTCTGCTGTGTCATATTTTGGAATAGGGCTAATTCTTGGATTGGGGTTGCAGTTTTCACCATGGCAACCAAAATCTATAAGGGTTTCAAGTACATCTCCCAAATCTTTGGTAATCTCTCTCTCTCTCTCTCTCTCTCTCTCTCTCTCATATTTGTGTGTATGCACTTATATAATTTGGGTTCAATTTCCTATGCTATGATGGGTAATAATAACCAAATCACAAAATAATATTAATCTGATACACAAACCAGAGATATTTTGAACTCATATGACAATTTCTATTGTGACTAAGGTGAATTTTTATTTTTTGTTTTTTGGTTTGTAGTTGTTAAGGAGCGTGAAATAGAAATTGGGTACCCAACAGATGTTAAACACGTGGCACATATTGGGTGGGATGGCCCTTCATCTGGTAGTGCACCTAGCTGGGTATGTTTTCCAAACTGATGTCTCTCTTAGTATATCTTCTTCAATTTTTATTTTTTACTTGTTTATTTTATTTTTATTTTTATTTTTTGGGGTAATATATGGTAATGTTTTTTATGTTGAATTGGGTTGAAATTTTAGATGAATGAATTCAAGACATCATCGGATTTTGCTGCAACGTCTATTAGTAACATTGCTGAAACAAAAGGTTCAACCTCTGGAATATCAACATGGTCATCTCAAGGTTTGTTTGTTTCACATCTCTTTGTGTGTGTGTGTGTGTTTTTCTTTGATTCGTATCTTTCAATCTTCCAACAACGAAGAATGAGTGAATGTACTGTGGGAGGAGAGATTAACCATAGGAACATTATTGAGACTTCAAGTGAGAACAGCGAGTCTACTGTGGATATCATGTGTCATGTTCCTAATCTGACAGGCCTTTTTTTGTTCACGGGTTGAAAGGTCGAGAGAAATACGATAGATTTGTCGTTATCTATCAAGTATTAGTACTTCAAAAATTATGCTATCATGGATCCGAGTAGTGGTATGATTGCACACGTATTTAGTATGCAAAATAAGTATTAGGTAATTTCAAAAAAATATTTAATGTTGGGTATTGGACAGGGTAGTGGATAGGTCCAAGCACAAACATAAATTTTTAATTTTTATGTAAATTTGTATTCCAATAAGAGTATTTTTGGAAATATTACAAATTTGAGAAAACGTTTTTAATTTTTAAAAATTGAGCATTGTATCTCTCTCTGTCAATTGAGTTTCTGTCTCTCTCTCATACCCTTAATTACTTTTGCATTTCATTGCTAATTGGTTCACAACTACAAATTTAAAATATTTTCTTTTATGAATGTAACCTACCCTGATCGTACTTGTATTATACTTTTTTGGGCGAATTATATCAATAGTCTCTGTAGTTTGAGATTTGTATCATTTTGATTTTTGACTTTTTAATTGTAATACATTTAACCATGAATTTTAAATCTTGTTCCAAATAAGGACAATCAAAGATGTTTTTTTTTTTTTTTTTACAAATAGTCCATTTCAAGGGCAAAATTATCATACAACTTATTTTGTGTTAGTTAACTTATATATAGGGACGGATCCAGGATTATGCCTTTGGGAGGGCTATTCTATAGTTTAAAAAATTAATGGAACTACTCTATATAATTTTGAAATTATCCACAAAAAAATTGAGGGTACGAACTCCTATAATTTTAAAATTTCTAATATAATATATGATATTTTTCAAATTTTTGAGGGTGTGGCCGCCCCCTACCCCTCCCCCCAGATCCATCATTGCTTATATGTTGTTTGAAATGTAATGACATTTTTATTAATGAATAATGTTGGAGCTTTATTGGTTATAAAATTCTGTTAATAATTGTTTTTTGATATTTATTTTCATTGAATTAGTTTTTACTATTTCAAAAGTCAAATATAGCGACAACTTTGATGTTATTATTAAACCAATTTATTAAATCAAAAAAAAATCTAAAATTAAAAATATTTCATATATTAATATCGATTACACATTAAAAATTTAATAACCATCTATTACATAATAACCATATAAAAATATCTATTAATAACAAATACAACCATCTATTATATGATAACCATCCAAAAAATCAACAAAAATAACCACCTATTACATGATCATCACCCAAACACATACTAAAAATTAATTTTGTAAAAAAATAAAAAAAATAAAAAAGTAAAAAATTATCATTTTTATATATTTTATCTTTGGTAGGTAGAAATAATTTTGTCAAAGTAGTTTATATTTTATTAAATTGACGATTTTACCTTTAAAATGGAGTAATAGTATGTTCAATTATCATTATTTAGAATGAGATTCAAAATTCAAAATCAAATATATGACAATTAAAAGATCAAAAATCAAAGTGACATAAATCTCAAACTATAAGTTTCGTTAGTTTAATTCGTCGTTTAAAACTTTTTCCATGCTTGTAACCATCATCTCTTCCTCAAGATTGGCCCTTTTGTCACGAGGCAATGCTTATTGAATTGGAATCCAATCAAAAATTTGTTTGATTGATAGACTTGATGTTGTACTAGGATACTCATGTTATAATGCCAATAACACTTGACATTATGTTAAAATTAGGGGGAAAATAAAGTAAAATACAGGGATTTGAGAGAATGTTTAGATTTTGAAGGTTACATAATTAAGCAAACCATTAAACTTGATTAGTAAAACTTTGGTCAGCCATAGCTTCTCATGCTGTTGGTTTAGGCACAGTTAAGCCAATGCTAGCGCATTGTCACATCCTTACAAAATTCTCCAAAATATTTAGAAGGGAGCATGCAAGGGAGTGACGTTAACGGAAGAATTTAGAACTCCCTAGAAACCCTATCACGTATGAAGACTATGAAGAATTCTAAAAGGACCTAGCAAATTCAAGAACCTATACACTTGTACATATAATTAGATATTTGTATAGATAATTCTAGAAGACATTTTACAACATTCTTGTAGCTTGTAAAAAAGACTTCCATAGGAAACTTCTACATGATGTCTTCTTGAGAATTCTAGAAAGCTCCTAGGGGGCCTATACATAAGAGAGGAGCTCATTTGCTCCAATCCATCCAAGAATTGTGAAGTTTTCTCTCAAGTAAATACAAGGTATTCTCTCAAACTTTCTTGTGTTCTTCTAACTTTTCTTTCCTATAAGTTTGTGAGTTAGACTGACTTAGTATCATCAAGTAAGACTTGAGATTGTCTAAGTACCACACGGATAGCTTGGAAACAACCAAGGCAGCGACAACATGCTCACCCAAAAGTGGTTCACAATGAAGAGGAAGAGTCTCTCGTTTAAAATCTTGGTTACTCTTCAAGAAATGATAATTTTTCACTATGTCTTGAGTATTATATTCATCTTCATCAACAATCACCGTTAAAACATTTCTTAATTATTCAAAAATACTGACTAACTAAAACTCGAATGCATGATTATCTGCCATCTGTTAAATAATGAAAATGGCAGACTGAAATTGTGTTAGTTTTTGTTATTCAGTCAGTCAAATCTATAGTTCTCTTTGGATATAACTTAATTAGCACTTTTCATGTTCTATTTTTTATATTATTTTTTGTAACAGACTTTGAATCCATGGACCGGCAAGCAATACCTGACATGTTCAAAGACATACCACCCATAGACCTTCCCAACATTCCAAACAAACAGAAGAGGAAGAAAATCAAATCAACTTCCTCCCCGAAGTCGTCCTCGTCCTCCTCAAGATCATCCCGAGCAGCAAAATCAAAGTCCAAGTTTGTTGAAAACAATGCCATACCAAAAAAAATAGAAGTGGTGTAAAATTATAGACTTGGAGCCAAGACATGAAAGACGTTTCAATGATCGTGTTTCAATGATCGTATTATCTCGGCGATTGTGAAGTCCCCCTTTACATGCAGTAGCTTAAAAAAAAACACAACGGATTGGAAGGAAATCTATTTTGTGAATATTTAAAAGTGTGCATTGCTTCTGTGACATTAACATAAACACAGATAATAAATATCAGAAATTAGGTGCCGGACTAAGAGAGATGAGACAAAAAGATGTAACAAACGTTCAAGCATCAAGAAAACACCTATTATTGCCAAAGTATGGCAGTTTGGTCCAAAATGGATTCTCCATGCTATAGCAGCGGTTAAATTTGGCTTTTGCCAAATATTGTCAAATTTAGCACAAATTTTGGCAGATGTCAAATCTGTCAGCTCACTCAAAACTAACTGCTTTCCTTCCTTCCCTCCTTTACTCTCTTCATTTCTCATCCATTCATGGAAAAAAACTCCCCAAAACAGATAATTTTTTTTAAAAAACAAAATTCAGCAATTTTTTTTTTTTTTATATATATATAAATAGAATCCACCAGTTTGTTTATACATATTTGGCATTTTTTTTGGGGGAGTTAACAAAATTCACCAAATCTCAGGCAAACAACAACAATTTCAAGAAAAGTCAAGCAATCTTAAGCAAAGATCCCAAAATCTAAAGCAATTTTTTTTTTTTTTTTAAAAAAAAAAAAACAACCCGGATTTCAATATGCTTAAAAGTTTGGGTTTGTGATATGCGATCTGCGAAGAGGGATGCGAATAAGGCTTCCTGATTTGCAATCTGCGAAATGTCTCCCTGATCTGTGATCTTTGTTTTCATCTTCTTTGTGATATGCGAAGAGGGGTTTGTGATCTTTGATCTCGTCGACTGATATTCACTGAAGAGATGAAAAAGATGGAGAGAAAGAGGGAGGGGGTGAGATGTCGACTATGAGAGATTGAGGTGAAGAGAAAAAGAAAGAAATATGGGGTTCTCCTACTCAATCTGGTGGTGGTGGTGGATTCCGGAAAAGAGACAAAGGAGAACAATGGAGAGAGAGAGAGAGAGAGAGAGAGAGAGATTGCTTTGTTCTTCAAAAAAAGAGAGTGAAGTGGGTTAGTGAGAAGGTTCTAGATTGAGAGACTGAGAGAATGAAAAAGATTAGCCTCCGTTTAGGAAGTGGGTTGACTTTTTGACTTTTTAATTTTTTTGACTATACGAGCCTGGACTCAAAAATTTAGTTTGAGAAGGACTTTTGGTTTTTTGGCTTTTTTAATTTTTTTGTGAGAAAAGAGTGTAATGATTATGAGGTTGGATGAGATATTTTGTCTGCTGTGACTCATGAGCCTATTCTGTCTTTTATGGCACATTGAGCCAAAAAAGCCCAATGAGCCCTTGCCAAACTGTGTTTCATTTTAGTTTTTTAAATTTAGTTTTTGAAAATTAAATTTTTTATTTTTTGTATTTTTTTTGTCTTTATTGAATATTTTTTAAATTTTAAATAATTTTTTTTACTTTTTACTTAGACTTATCTAAATAGTAAATTATTTGTGAAAAATTATTTTAAAAAATTAATAAATATACAAAAATACGAAAAATGTACTAAATTTTTATATTTTTTATATTTAGTGATTTTTTAAAGATTTTTTTTTATTACAAATATTATACTTTCTAATGATGTGTTTGATTAGAGGATTTGAAAATGGATTTAGAAAGAGAAATAGAAAAGATAAGTGAAATTTGAATAAAATATATCTATATTTCACATAATTTCACATTTTTTTTCTTTTTCTTTTCCAAATCTCTTCTCAAATTTCCAAACCAAATACAGCGTAAGTGTGTTTATGTTAGGTGTGTCTAAAAAATAAAAAGATTCCTTAAAATATTTAAAAAATTAAGTAAAAAAAATATGGAAAGCGAAAAAGTAAAATATTTTAAAAAGTAAATTCCGAAAACTGGAACAAACAGAGTGATTAGGATTATTGTTTGAAAAAAAAGGCTCTCCATTGTTGTTTATTTTTTAATATCAATTTATTTTAATATATTTTTTTGTAAATGTAATTTTAATCTTTTAATTTATTTATTTATTTTTTTTTTATATTTGTGGGGTTTTTTTAATGTTAATTTATTTAAAATTTTGATTTTTTAACTTTTTATATTTGTCTAGTCGAGTAAAATGTATATATTTATTTATTTTTTATTTTTAAGTTTTTAAAAGTTCATAGAAGACAAAAAATAAACAATAAAAAATTACTCAAAAGCCTATATCCAAATATCACCTATAAAATTAGAGAGAAAGTTGGTTGAGATTTGCCATAATGACAAGTGACCATTGGAGATCATCGCTATAATTTGACAATTTACTACTATTCATTGCCAAATTATAGTAATGTCAATACTATTATAACATTTGTCATTGGAGATGCTCTTAATAATGATTCTTCTTCTTTATTTTATTTTATTTTTTTATTTACCACAAAGTAATGAAAACATAGGAAGTTGGATTCTTTGCTTGTGTTGATGGAAAATTAAGCTAATTTTCAATTGTTTTGGATATGAATATAAATACCATAGGATGGTCAATCACTATTGTTCATTTACAATAGAAAAACGTAATCTGTTTGATGCAATTTTTAACAAATTAAAAATTAAAAATCATTAAGTAAAAACAAAAATCACTTATCTTAACTTTTCAATAATTAATTTTTTTTAAAATTATTTTAGCTATTTTCTCTTAGAAGTTGCAACAAATACTCTAGTACAAACTCATAAAAAGTATAGGATAAATTACAAGTATCCTCCTGAGGTTTGCTTAAAATACGGATTGCTTTCTGTAGTTTGAAAAATTATAAATACTTCCTTGTTAGAATTTTTATTTAACAGAATTAACTAAAAAAATAAAATTTGCAATTATTCTCCTATGCAATAATAAAATTACGTAAATTATTAATTGAAACATATTTTTAATATCATTAAAAATTGCTAATTAATTGATGATTTATTAATAAAATGAACGATTTATTATGAGATTAAAAATCTCAAGAAGTGTATTTGTAATTTATTCAAATATATATATATATATATATATATATATTGTAAAGTGCACCAAACAAATTGAAAAATCAAACTTAAACTAAGAATCATCTTTCAACATGGACGGCTGTGAGCATATTCTTGTTTCGTGCAAAATAGTCAAGCCAAGGCCAACATTTTGGTTGGCTGGCCAATTAATTTGTCTAGGAATAGGGCAATTTTAGTAAAATTCTTGTTTAATGTGTGTGAGACGTGCCACCTTAGATATTTCTAATACATTCATGCACGAGATGCGTATCCACTCCGCCTCCATTGTCAAAAGCACTTGCCTCTTCAAAAAAGAAGTAGTTAAAGCGAGGTTCAAGTGCTTTATCCTTGTCTACCACCTTTTTCTTGACTTAACCTTCCACCATTGCCTATACAAAGATCATCAGATTGTTAAGAGGAAAAATAGGGATTGATTAAAAGAGAAAAGATAGAGAGAAAAAGAGAATTCTTGCTTGAATTAAAGAGTTGGCCAAAACTTCCATTTTGTAGCTATACATTGTTATAGCTCATCTTTCATATCAAAACCGTCCAAGAAATTCCATTATAGCCGAATTCTAGAGCTTTGATCAAAGGAAGAGTGATTGTTGTTGAAAGTGAGAAAATCAGAGAGTTAAACAATTCTCTCCACACACATTGTTAAACAACACAAGTCAAGTTTTCGAATTGAGGATTGAGAACATAATTCATAACCTTGAAGGTGATAAAAAATGAATTTTGGAAATTAAGGAGTTTATTCTTTCTTTAGAAGGTGAATTTTCAATATTTTTCATTTCCTTGTACTTTATTTCTTATATTAATTTTCTTACTTTGATTTCATATTATAAACTGTTGTAATCTAATTGGTAGTGGTTATATATATATATATATATATATATATATATATATATTGTAAAGTGCACCAAACAAATTGAAAAATCAAACTTAAACTAAGAATCATCTTTCAACATGGACGGCTGTGAGCATATTCTTGTTTCGTGCAAAATAGTCAGGCCAAGGCCAATATTTTGGTTGGCCGGCCAATTAATTTGTCTAGGAATAGGGCAATTTTAGTAAAATTCTTGTTTAATGTGTGTGAGACGTGTCACCTTAGATATTTCTAATACATTCATGCATGAGATGCGTATCCACTCCGCCTCCATTGTCAAAAGCACTTGCCTCTTCAAAAAAGAAGTAGTTAAAGCGAGGTTCAAGTGCTTTATCCTTGTCTACCACCTTTTTCTTGACTTAACCTTCCACCATTGCCTATACAAAGATCATCAGATTGTTAAGAAGAAAAATGGGGATTGATTAAAAGAGAAAAGATAGAGAGAAAAAGAGAATTCTTGCTTGAATTAAAGAGTTGGCCAAAACTTCCATTTTGTAGCTATACATTGTTATAGCTCATCTTTCATATCAAAACCGTCCAAGAAATTCCATTATAGCCGAATTCTAGAGCTTTGATCAAAGGAAGAGTGATTGTTGTTGAAAGTGAGAAAATCAGAGAGTTAAACAATTCTCTCCACACACATTGTTAAACAACACAAGTCAAGTTTTCGAATTGAGGATTGAGAACATAATTCATAATCTTAAAGGTGATAAAAAATGAAGTTTGGAAATTAAGGAGTTTATCCTTTCTTTAGAAGGTGAATTTTCAATATTTTTCATTTCCTTGTACTTTCTTTCTTATATTAATTTTCTTACTTTGATTTCATATTATAAACTGTTGTAATCTAATTGGTAGTGGTTAGTTTAGCCACCTACATATTCTCCGTTTGTTCTTTTTTTGATGTTGCAACAAAGCAGAGTTTTGCCAAACTTAATTGGTTGGTTGGCCAATTTATTGGCTAGCCGGCTAATTAATTGGCTGCCCCGCTCACTTTTTGGCCAGCCAGCCAATTTCTTCTGGACAAAATAGAGCAATCTTCCAGCGTTGAGCAGAACAGCTTCAGGTGGTCTCCGAGGCACATGAAGTTTCTGTTTTTATTTTAATTTGAGAGATTTGTGAGGTTTTATTTTGTTGTAATATATTTTTCCTCCCCTTCTTTTTTCGGATATGTAATTATCAAATGATGTAATAATTCCCCACTCCCGCTTCTTTCTATCCCGTTCTTTTACTTGCTTTCTTTATTTGTAAATATGTATCATATTGTGTTTTTTATCATATCCATACTATGCCATGTTTCATGCATTAAGTTTTGGCCAAATTTGAATTTGTGGATTTAATCGATTATTATGTGATTTTATGTGCTATCTCATGTCTTGAGATGATTTACATGTCATATATTAGAAGCCAAATTTTTAGTTGTATTTCATGAGTGAATTGCATTAGAATTTTGTATATAAGATTATGTATATTTTACTAACTTTGTTTTGTAATTGTTTGAGGGATGTCAGTAAATATATAAGTTTTTATGCTTTGCATCCCACTTGTGTGTGTTT